ATATCACAATATCACCATCAGAAGGCTAAAAGTGTTGAAAAGGTGGTGGAGTAACTGGAACTCTCGTACAGTGGGATTGTAAACTGCTAATGCCACTTTGGTCAGTGCTTAAAAAATGTGGCATTATCTACTAAAGCTAAACATAAGGGCAGCCTAAACCTCAAAAGGGAGCTCTGGTGGCATAGTCCTAAGGCTGGGCAATCTACTTCCGTAGAGATACCATGTCGGAAGCTCAAGGAGGGGTCGCTATGGGTCGGGTCCGACTCGATGGCAGTGCGTTTGGTTTGTGTTTGGCAACCTCCCCAATTCTACTCTTGACTGTGTACATCCTTTCTTGCAGTACCTATAACCTAGAAAGGACTCAAAGGCCCACCAAAAGCAGAATGGACACATTCTGACCTATTCATACAATGAACTTCACAGCAATGGAGAAAGATGAAAATATTGATACATACAAAATCAAGGATAAATCTCACAGATGTAATGATGGAAAGAAGACCAATGCTCTAGAGTACATACTCCACTCCAGTGATACGAAGTGTAAGAACAGGGAGACTTATCCAGGATGACAGATGTCAGAATGGGGGGGGTTATCTCCTGGGATGGTGGGGTGGATTACCTAAAGAAACACATGTGAATTAACCAAAGGAACCCAGGGGCAAGGCTACCGAGGGCTCAAGTAAAAATCTTCATCTTGATGGGGGTTAAAATACACAGAAGTGCAAAAATTATCAAGACATACACTTAAGATCTGTGCACTTTACTCAATAAGTTGATTTAATATAAACAAAGGAAAACGAGTTGGTACCTTTGGTTACCGATTTCACTTCAGAGAGTGATCCTGCTGATGCTATATGAAATGCACAAGATAACACTGCACAAGCCAAATATCAGAACAAGCAAAGTAGAATACTGAAATAGATGATAGTAGCGACATAAAATATTCAGCAGAAAACATAAAATATTCAGTAAAAAAGAATGAGGGAGTTCTATGACATTGCAACGGGAAGATTTCAGGGAGGGAATATAGCAGAGTGATTCAGATCGCAGATTCTAGGGCCATTCCCATCCCACTTCCGTCACTAACTAGTCTGGAAAAGGTGGACGTGCTGCTCCATCTCTCTCTGCTGCAGTTTCCTCATCTGTAAATGAAGATTGATGATATCAGCACTAACACTTCACAAAGCTGGTATGGGAAGGAAATGGGTGATGTAGGTGAAGACTACAGAGGAGTATGAGTGGCACTGATGTAGTTGGTGACCATTAGCTGCTGCCACCACCTCCACAACCACCATCCTAATCACCATCACCATCGTCTTTAAAATGTATTTCACCATGGAAAAAAGCATGGTTTAGAATGATGTATATAGTATACCTCTGTGTTCATTTTGTTTCTATATGCATAAAAAAACCTCTTCAGAGATTTGTAAGAAACTGATACTGCAGCTTTCCAGTTGCCCTAAGAGTTGCTTCCCACTCATGGCAACCCCCTGCGTGTTAGGGTAGAACTGTGCTTCACAGGGCTTTCAACGGCTGGTTTATCAGAAGTAGACTGCCAAGTCTTCTCACAAGGTGCCTCTGGGTTGACTTGAACCTACCACCTTTTGGTTAGCAGCTGAGCACAGTAACCATTTGCACCATCCAGGCAACTCCAAGAGATAACACTACTGGTGACTTTCTTTGTGGCATATGGCTGTGATGGGATAGTAGGTGGGAGTTCCAGTTGTCACTGTACACATGTGTGAAAAATTATTATCCATGTGCATCTGTTATCTATTTTTTAAATTTTATAAAGAAAAATATTGCTAGCATTGATGTTCAATTGTTGTAAAACAAGTGTAACTGAAGCTTGCTTTCATTAAGCAAATTCAATAGAAACAAAATTTGAAAGCATTAGAGGGATAAAAAACAATGAGTGCTCTCTGATTTCATACATTTCTAGTAAATACAATTACAAAAGGGGAATCAAAGGTATAAATACTATTTTATCTTTTACACTATTGTCAATTAAATTATTAAATACTACATACATACATAGAGGAGCTCTGGTAGAGTAGTGGTTAAGGCATTTGTCTGTTAACTAAAAGGTCTGTGGTTTGAACCCACCAGCCACTCAGCACATACTGCCTAAGGCACTTGACTGCTAACAGAAGGCTGGCGGTTCAAACCCACCAGCCACTCCTCTGAAGGAAGGTTGGGCAATCTACTTCTGTAGTGATACTGCCTCGGAAACCCAAGGAGGGGTCACTATGAGTCGGGGCCTACTCGATGGCATATAACAACAACAACAACGACCTCCATAAAGATTTACAGCCTTGGAAACTCAATGGAGGTCGCTATGAGTTGGAATCAACTCAATAGTGAGTTTGGTTTGGTTGCGTACCTAAATACTCTGACCCCAGTTCCTACGCAGTTTTTCTGCTAGCACCTGGGAATGTCCCTGCTCCATAGGACTGTTCCCAATCATGAGTTACAAGGAAACTTAATTTCTTGGTTAACTTTTCTCTTTTGGATACAACAGCTTACAGCAAGAGGTACACTGATCTAAAGCATGGTACATATTTGAGACTTAAGAACAAAAGCACCCTTTCTTCTCATTTTTCATATAAATTCTTTAAAATCAGATCATGAAAATTTTTATGAACTATTGTCAAGACAGGAATCTAGACTTGCTATATAAAATCATACATTAAGATAGTATTGACAGAAAATAGAATGTTAAAAATCTTTAACTTAAAAAGGTTAATATAAGAAGAAGGTGCTGATTTCAATTTTTAAAAAGTATTTATTCTATGTCAGATGTTACTTCAACTACTTTAGTGTTTTCATTAACTCTGAGTTTACTTTTAAATTAGCAATTCTAAAGCTCCTATATAATAACTTTATTATACTGTCAACAATTCCAGGAACATTACACGTGGCTGCCTCTAGGTGGTGCAGTTACATTTAGGAAAAGCAAAAGAATATTCTTTGAAAATCAATAGAAATAAATCTTAGTACTGTATCTTAGCTTTAAAGAATTGGGTATTACATTTTTTAAAAGATTAAAAGTATGAAAGATAAAAGAATAGCTTATTCCTTCTAGAAGAGGATTACACTAATTTAAATAGTTTAGAAGAACAGCTAGGAAGTTCAAAAATAGATGCTTTAAACTGGTACGTATTAAATAAAAATAAAATTTCACACGGTGCAGAATCATGTCATTAATAGAGAAGCTGATAACTGCCTTTCCGTGTATTTTGTGTTTCAATTAGCTTGCCCCACTTTTTCTAGCTAACTACTGCATAAGATGCTAGACATGCTGAATCCATGATTTCTCTTTCATTTCTTCAGTTTTTGATTATTTCACATTCAGACCCTAGGTGAGAAGATCATTCAACCTGGGACTGAAAACGTCCCCCACAGCATAACCAGATGCCGTCCAGCTGATTCCGACTGACAGTGACCTCATGTGTGTTACAGGAGCACTGTGCTCCCCAAGGTTTTCAACGCTGATTTTTCACAAGGAGACAACCAAGCCTTTCTTCCAAGGGGCCTGTGGCTGGACTGAACTTCCAATCTTTCAGTTAACAGCCAACCATGTTAACTGTGTACCATCCAGGCACTCCTCACACAGCATTGTTTCATTTAAAATGTGACTGAGTGCAGAAGAATCAAATGTGTGTGAACTTACATTACAGGAAGCCAACTCAGACTTACAGAAATCAGACACTTTCCATTTGTGAAAAGAATCCTAAATTATTAACACTAACTTCACACCCAAGAGTAAATGACTTTTTGAAACATAATTGAGTCTAACCAGTGTAGGATTCACCCCACTATCCACGGGCCAAACAGCAAACATGCCAAAGTGTACGACACCCAAATGTTTTGTGGATGTCACTGGAAAGGTGACCCTGACGTGCTACTAAATAATACATTTCCTCTTGGGCCTGCTTCATCATTATGCTGAGTAAGGCATACCAAGTGGAAGAGAGTCAAGAGGAAACAAAAAGAAGAATGGAGAAAAACATATTAGAATTCCAGGGTGCTTCGAGATTCTTTCGAATGGTAAACGGACAGGAAAATTCACAAAAAACTGAACTTACAAAGATTATTTAATCCTTTGCTGAAATACTCTCTAGAGAGCAGATTCAGAGCTGAAGTTAGAAATAAAAGCATTGGATTCATCAGGTCTAGGCTAGCCTCAAACCATTTCTGGGGCATGTGTTTCAGAAATACAAGATTAACACATGTAATTTCCCCTCTGTATTTTAAATGTACATGTACTGTGCAATGTATTTTGCAATAATCATATAAAATAAAAACTGGAATGATTAATTTCCTAATTAATGTCACTAGAATCACACTCATTTAAAAATCTCATTAACAAAAAGGCATGTGGTCTGAACATTAGTAACTATGCCAAAAGAACAACAGGCATCGACAATGGTAAATAACAGGAAAGAACATTAGATTGATTGGCATTAAAATGGAGAAAACTCTATTCATAGCAATGCTGTCACTTGGAATGACTAACTGGAAATTATCACGACGAGTCTAAATTTAAGAGGAGTCTAATTTATGACATGTAGTGGGAAAAGACACTAGACGGCAAAACGGGAATCTCTTCACTATTCACTGTGTATCTGTAGGCAAATTAATTACCATTTCTGCCTTGAGAGAGGCTGGACAGACTAAACCCTGAGATCTCTCCAACTTTAAGAAGTTCAAAGCCTACTGGAATGAATTCACGTACAAAGTTCAATGAAAATTCCTACACTCAATTCAATCCCATACATTTCACTTGGTAGTAAACTCGATTTCCCTTTAGTATCAGAATTATACCAAACATTGCCTCATACATAATTAAATGGAGCAATTTATGTTAAAGTCAAAAGGAAAAAAAAAAAAAATCTTCATTTGAGCTTAATTATGCATAGGAAAATAATCAAATAATTATGCACAGGGAAAGAAGTTAAATACTCAATGTTTATGCATAAAGTTGACAACTGCCATACCATTAAAACCGCATAGTTACTAAGGGAGTAGCACTGAATCGTAGTGATATTTTCATCTGAGTAGAGTATATGGCACCCATCTGACTTCCAGCCTCCTTGTCCGTTCAGCAAATCGAAATCCCACTGAGCTGCAACAGCATCTGCTCCATGTGCAATTCGACGCAATGTCACATTCACAGGGATGTGGTGGGTATCTACATTCACGCCATCTGGAGAAAATGGGAAATAGAAATATCTCTGAAACAAATGTCATAAACAATTAAATGTCAGTATATACACTAATGGATACTCTGCAATATCTTTTTCCGTTGGGGAGTCATTAAGGCAAAAAAAGAACAGAGCTAAGCACTTGTTTAGACTACTGAAGTATGAAGTCACACTGTCCGCTAACTACAGGCTAACATATGCCACAGACGAACCTATTTTAGTGAGAATCACAGGGGTAACCACGGTACGTCGTTTTCCATCATCAGCCAAGTTTGTTGAATTTCCGGTTGCTGGGAAAAGCTTGCCATTGCGGAATGCAATGAGCTGCAGCTTGTACAGATAGTCATCGGCTGGTCTGGCTTCTCTCGTTTGTTTTGGTGAAAAAAGGGAAGGAGGAAGCTGAATAGATGCCTCAACAACTGTATTCTGTAACCAGAAACAAAACAAGCCCAAGTCGTCTTGTTAGTGCGTGGAAGCCAGAAAGAATTATTTTCAATACGGTTATAAGTTATTTCTAATCATAATCTGAGCACATTCTTTTAAAAAGCCTATATATGCAAAATTTAATAGTTAAAACACAAAATGTAATAACAGTAATAGTTAACAGAACAGTTACATGAAATGTCTGAACAACCATTTAACAGGTACAGATGGAAAGAAGTATGAAATACACAGCAATGTAGACTTTACTTCAGAGAGTTGAAGAAGTAAGCCAGCAATTATTTGCAATAATGAAGTTCGTTTTCCCCTGATAGTGCATACTGCTAAAGCAGGTACCACTGACACAGACCAGGGACCTCAGTGATCACTCTGTATGTATCAATTTTACAATGACAACAGACGGTAAATGAACACTAGCGTAGCCTATCACAAGTATGGGCGTAATTAAAATAAGCCTATGGAACTCTGAGGTGATTTATGATAAATACAAAACACAACAGCCAAGAAAGAAAGAAAAATATGCAAACATACTAAAAGTTTACATTCAACAAGCTCTTCCGTTAGCAAAAGTTTCCCTAAGGCTAAGAAACACCTTAAGAAAAGTCCTTATTTTACTGTCAAAAAAAAGATAACAACTAAAAATGATGGCTGGCCATCAGGTTTATTAGGAAAGTTTATGTTCTAAATTATGCAATATTCAATTATATATATATATATGTATATAATTATAATTAACTATCTAAAAAATCCCTATTTTAAGAACTCATCACAAAGTTTCTGTCTCTCTCCAATCCACCAACCTCTCTCCCTCCGAACCACCCTTCATCTGACCAACAGAGTACCCCCCTTGTTGTTGCTGTTGTTGTTAGGTTCCACTGAGTCGGTTTTAACTCACAGCGACCCTAAGTACAACAGAACAAAACGCTGCTCCGTCCTCAACAATCACCTCGCAAGCATTACTGTGCTTGAGCCCATCGCTGCAGCCACTATGCCAATACATCCCGTGCGGGTCCTCCTCTTGTTTGCAGACCTTCTGCTTTATTGGCATAATCTTCTCCAAGACCAGTCACTTCTGATAACAGGACCAAAGCAGAAGAGACAAAGTCCGGCCATCCTCAGTTCTAGGAACATTCTGGCTGTACTTCCTCCAACACAGATCTGTTCATTCTTCTAGCAGTCCATGGTACATTCAACATTCCTTGTCAACACCACGATTCAAATGCATCAATTCTCCTCCAGTCTTCCTTATTCGTTACCCAACTTTCACATGCATACTAGGCTACTGAAAATATCGTGACTTGGGTTAGGTGCACTTTAGTCTTCAAAGTGGTATCTTTGCTCTTAAGCACTTTAAAGAGTTCTTTTGCAGCAGATCTGCACAATACAGTATGTTATTTGGTCCTTGACTATTGCTTCTATGGACATTGATTATGGATCCAAGTTAAACAAAATCCTTGACAATTGCTGTCTTTTCTCCATGTATCATGATGTTGCTTATTGGTCCAGTTGTGAGAATTTTTGTTTTCTTTATGTTGAGGTATAATCCATACTGAAGGCTGTAGTCTTTGGTCTTCATTAGTAAGTGATTTCGAGTCTTCTTCACTTTCAGCAAGCAAGGTTGCGTCATCTGAACATCTCAGGCTGTTAATGAGTCTTCTTTCAACCCTGACGACACACTCTTCTTCATATAGTCCAGTTTCTCAGATTTAATTGCTCAGCATACAGATTGAATAAGTATATTGAAAGGATACAACCCTGATACACACCTTTCTAATTTAAACCATGCAGTATCCCCTTGTTCTGTTTGAACCTGGTCTATATACAGGTTCCTCATGAGCACAATCAAATGCTGAATGCTGCTGCATAGTCAATAGAACACAAGTAAACATCTTTCTAGTATTCTCTGCTTTCAGCCAACATCCATCTGACATTAGCAGTGATATCCCTTGTTTGATATCCCTTTCAGCTTGAATTTCTGGCAGTCCCCTGGCGATCTACTGCCACAACCATTTTTGAATTATCTTCAACAAAATTTTACTTGCCTGTGATATTAACGATATTGTTCAATAATTTCCCACATTCTGTTGGATCACTTTTCTTTGGAATGGGCTCAAATATGGATCTCTTCCAGTTGGTTGTCCAGGTAGCTGTCTTCCAAATTTCTTGGTAAAGTTTCTCCTTAAATAAATTTAATCATGTTATTCTAGTTTAAATAGCACTTGGTTCTCCAGTGTTTAAAGAAAAGTACCAGAAAATCCTTCAACCTGGCTAAATCTACTTCCCAAACCTAGTACTTCCTGTCTTACAACCTGTAACCCTGCCACATGAACTTATCAATTTTTGTGATTTCCTATGGTCTTTTTTGGGGCACTGATGGTTCAATGGTAGAATTCTCTCCTTCCGTGAGGAAGACGTGAGATTGATCTCGTGCTGCCACCACCCTCTGCTGTCAGTGGAGGCTTGCTTGTTTTGCTGTCATTGCAGAATACAGTAAGTTATTATTATAGTATTCTCTTCTTCCAGAAGAGTAGGAACTAGGAAGAAAGGCCTGGCCATCTACGTCTAGAAATCAGTCAGTGAAAACCCAATGGTCCAAGTCACACCTGATTCACATGCATGGCACTGGCCCGAATAGCAGTTCATTCCATTGTGCACAGGATCCTCTAGAGTCGGTGATCAGCTCGACACGATGCTAACATGCAGCTAACAACGTGATCCTTTTGGGCCTCTGTGCAGCTGTGCACATCATACCAAAGCTAAGGTGTTTTACTATTTTTTCTCAAGGAGGCCTGATGGTGCAGAAATTAAACACTTGGCTCTTAACCGAAAGGTCAGATGGTTCAAACCCACCGGATACTCCATGGGAGAAATATGTGGCAGTTTGCTCCCATAAATATTATTGTTGTTGTTTTCTGCCATTGAGTTGTCTCCAACTCATAGCAAACTTAAGTACAACAGAATGAAACATTGCCTGGTCCTGTGGCAGCCTCACTATCCCTACTATACCTGAGCTGATCACTGCAGCCACTGTGTCTATCCATCTCATTGAGGACCTTCTCCTCTTTCACCAACCCTCCACTTTACCAAGCATGACATCCTTCTCCAGAGAATGG